CTACCAAATTTTTGGTTGAACTAGAATACCTGTATAGCGAGAGTATATGGACAGCTTGCTTCATGGAGGGCTTAGGGCCCAAAATGGTAGCCAGCTCTTGGACACACAAAATTTCACTGCCAATCATTTTATGTGTCTAGGGGCTGGCTACCCTTTTGGGCCCTAGGCCTTCCATAGCAAAATGAAAAAGATCCGGAATATTTTGGGAGTTTCAAAATTTCCGCGAAAAATTCAGGAAAATCTCAAAAGTTCCGAAATTCGGAACTAGTCCCGGGAAATCGGAGCACACTGAAAAAAAAATTCGGTGTATTTACTAAGAAAAGGGTAAAATTCCCAAGAATTCAGGGTTCTATTGGATCCCAGTTTTTTCTTGGTAAAATTATTGAACTTCCTCGGTAATTTTACTGGACCTTGGTAAAAACGCCAATATTTTTCATCGACTGTGGTAGAATTACCGAGATAAAATGGCAAAGTTACCGGGAATTGATTATCAATGAAAGTGGTATTCTTACCTGAAAAAAACAGTAAAAATACAGGTTTTTAGGTAAGCTTACCAGTCTCTCTCGGTAAAATTACCAATAATTGGTAAAAAAAGTGAGATGGTAAAGGTGCCAACGGACCTTGCTAAAAACGCCGAGAATTTTTTTTCAGTGTGCAAAGATTGATTTTTTTTTCCAAAACGAGGCAACGCAAGGGACAATATTCGGTCTCATACGATCCCGGGAACTCGAGAGTTGAGGAGTGAGGTCTCCCTTGGTAGAATGCTACCTAATTGTCCACTGAGGCTAGACCGAGTATAGCTTTGTGTCCGCCCGGCCGGGGATAATAATAGAGTGGCTCAAGGAGTACACTGAAAATAAATTCTCGGCGTTTTTACCAAGGTCCGTTGGTACCTTTACCACCTCACTTTTTTTTTACCAATTATTGGTAATTTTACCAAGACAGACTGGTAAGCTCACCTAAAAGCCGGTATTTTTACTGTTTTTTTCAGGTAAGAATACCACTATTATTGGTAATCAATTCCCGGTAACTTTGCCATTTTATCTCGGTAATTCTACCACAGTCAATAAAAAATATTGGCGTTTTTACCAAGGTTCAGTAAAATTATCGAGAAAGTTCGATAATTTTACTGAGATTTCTCGGTAAAATTACCAATTCCATAAATGGTAATTTTACCAAGAATAAACTGGGATCAAACGGAACCCTGAATTCTTGGTAATTTTACCCTTTTCTTGGTAAATACACCGATATTTTTTTTTTCAGTGTGGGAGCACTGCAAAGATTGATTTTTTTTCAAAACGAGGCAACGCAAGGGACAATATTCGGTCTTATACGATCGCGGGAACTTGGAAGTTGAGGAGTGAGGTCTCCCTTGGTAGGATGCTACCTAATTGTCCACTGAGGCTAGACCGAGTACAGCTTTGTGTCCGCCCGGCCGGGGATAATAATAGAGTGGTTCGAAGAGTACACTTACAATCAAAATGGTGAGATTTAAAAGAAAGATGGAGTTTTAGATGCAACATGCTCTTTCGGTGGATTCCTCCCCGGGGCAGAATGAGAATCTTTCTTACAAAAAAGAGGAACCATTACAGGGCCGGATTTACCTACTTGCCGCCCTTGGGCCACCTGTATTTTGCTGCTCCCTTCTCATTCATTTTGAAAAATCGATAAAAACCATCAAGTGAAGTACCGGATGGGGAGGGGAGGGGTGCATAAGACGCGTTCACTCGTGTTGGGCACATTTTTTGCGAAAATCCTGTCAACACTATTAGCAAAAGTTCACGGAACTTTGCGCGAAAGTTAAGTTCCGTAAACCTATCTCTGCGTGAACAAGGCCTTCCATTTGTAAGAAATGAACGTAAAAATTATGCAAGAACAAACGTAAATGTGGTTTCATAATTTTAACCTCCGCCGCCGCGCCGCGCTGACTACACTGTTTTTGACGCAATGCGTGAAGTATTCCAACAGTCTTGTAGGCGCTATGCATTTTCCGCCGACCGCTGCTGAACGCACTGTGTTCGACGCAATGCGTGAAGTATTCATTCAGTCTTGCAGGTGCTAATATGTGTTACATGCCGACCGCCGCGCCACGCTGAGGGCTTCTCGTTTTCATCGCAAGTCCTATTTCATCATTAAGTCTTTTTCATCATCAGTGCTCTCTGCGCCGAGTCGCTCCATACCAAATTGTGTGTTTGGTTTCTCTCTTCATTCGACTAATTAAAGGTCGACTCTTGTGTCACCAAAAGACGCTTTTCTCGTTTGTAATTTTTTTTCTGGATCCGATTTTTTATATACCTTTATTTAAAAAAATTGCAAACTTTGCCGCCATGGGCCGCGGCCCATGTGGCCACCCCCTTAATCCGGCCGTGAACCATTACGATTTAACAGTTGTGTATACTGAGTTTTTCCGACTCATAAAATACCAGATGAGCATAAATATATCTTGAAAAAAAATGAGAAGAAAATGCCCGACGGGCTGGAGGTGCAGGAGGGGTCTCTTTTACTGAGCAGTTTTGCTTTAGAAAAATGCTCCTCAGACATTTTGACGTCATCAAATGTTATTTTTTTCTTTAAATGTTTCACAAAAAATTCTATTAGCAAAATAATCTAGTTTATCTGCAAAATTCAAAGTAATCATGGATGTTCCATAAAGTAAATACTTTATTTAGGAAAAATTGCCGATGTTTGAAAATTCTTCGGATCCTTTCACAGGTCGAGAGCCTCCTTCAATTAAATACAAGAATTTGGCCACGTATGAATGAAAAGTCTCTGGTTTATAGGTTGAGATATTGTAAAGTATTGTGAAGATATGTGAGATATATGACGTATACTTAACCGATCAGAACCTAAAATTTTGTTTCATCAATTCTAACGTTCGCATTTTTCTCAGAGCTTACTCCATCATAGAAAATAACGCCATTAAATGTAGCGTGTAGCACATAACGTTGATAATGACGCAATTGATTAAATTATGTCTTAAACATGTACAAAACATGAGGAATTTGAATTTAATAAAGCCCGTTCGTCAAATGTACAGGTTCATTGACCATCGATCAAATTCCGTCCCTCTCCTCTCTGTTATTCCTTACTCCTGCTGAGGAGAAATATTCAAACATTTTCGAGGGTGGATAACCGCACGTCTGCCGTGCTACGGAAAAACGCCGTTTGAGACTCCAAGCGGTGCCAAATTTTCTTTAATAAATCACGAATTTTCGGGGAAATTTGTGAACGTTTTTCCTCCAATATTTCAGACAATTTTGTTCGCAATTTTACCTGAAATTCCTGAAAATTCAAAGGAAAAATATCCATAACTTTCCTCAAAAATAAACATTTTATCGAAGAAAATTTGGCAACTCTCGAATGCTCACACTGTGTTTTTCCTTAGCACGGTAGACGAATAGAATAAAGTCTGCCAGGACGCAAATTAGGAACAATAAAAGGACCGGTTCGATAATCATTCATTTAAAAAAGGGCGAAGCCCACGGATATAAAACTCAATTTTCTTCTGTTTCAATCAAATTTACGGCCCTCGAACATCGCAATTTTTGGTGCGCTCTATCTAAATCAATTCATCAATTCATAATCCATAAATAATGAACTGCGGCTCCTAATTTACGGCAGTGGCGAGGCCGGAATGATCGATTATCGATAAATCCCCATTTGATTCTATGGTAAAGAATCGATTGTTAAGGTGTTCGTTGCGAGCACCCTGTTTATCGATAATTTCCCGTAGGTTTAAATGGCAGATCAATCGATGTATTGCAAAGCATACCACGCCACTGATTGTACGGGTCCGTAAAATCGACTGATTTGCCTCTTCCCGAAGCTGAAATCTGTGCGATTCAGCGCGCGATAGCTCGACTCCATTTCAATTATAATTAAGTAAGCGTCATATGCGTACTTAAACAAGTATGAATCGATGTATCGATAGGTCGTATGATGCGGTTTATGGAACTTTCTTTATCGGCAGGTGTTCATTTACAGATCCATGAATCCAAGAAGATACGTTCGGGGATTCTGATTGAAACAGGGCCGAATTAAGGGGGTGGCCACATGGGCCGCGGCCCATGGCGGCAAATCTTGCAATTTTTTTAAATGAAGGTATAGAAAAATGGGATTAAAAAAAAAATTACAAACGAAAAAAGGCGACGAAATCTCTCATTTCCTGAGAGTATAGTAATTTCTAATTTTGTCGTCTCTCAGTGATACAAAAGACAGCACCTTTAATTAGTCGAGTTAAGAGCGAAACCAAACACGCAATTTGGCCTAGAACGGCGCGACTTGGAGAGAAATGATGACGAGGACTTGAGATGAAAAGGAGAAGCCTCGGCGCGGCGATCGATCGGCATGTAACACATATTATCGCCTACAAGACTGCATGAATACTTCACGCATTGCGTCAAACACAGTGCGGTCAGGAGCGGTCGGCGCGTAAAACGCATAGCGCCTTCTAGGTTGCATGAGTACTTCACGCATTGCGCCAAGCAGTGCGGTCAGCGCAAAACGGCAAAATACAGGCAGCCCATGGGCGGCAAGTAGGTAAATCCAGCCCTGATTGAAACCGCTACCATTCGATGGGCTTTAAATTCGCGTTAAATTATTCGCAGGGATCCGAATTCCGAAGTTATTACTCCATTTGGACCGCATCATGCAGAAAGGAACCAAGTCACATCACCTGTTTTCAAATTTCATCGGGCGCTTTATTTTTTTACGGAAGAATAGAAGGGTAGATTTTTTTGAAAATACCAGGGGATTTCCTCGATGGCGAGAAATAAATTCACTGAATTTTCAAAAGACTCCGTACAAAATTACACCTGTGTAAGAAGAAATAGTTTGAAGAAATCTGGCAATGGCTGATGTGACTTAGTTTCTTTCTGCTTACCGCGGTCTATTTGAAAGATTTGTCCGCGATTTCAACTCGCGCGAAATTAAACCTTTTTCATCACACTCTGGGAACATTTATTACCAATAACTGTGTTGATTAACTGTCTCCAAGCCTACATGTTGGGTTATTTAACTTGTCGGATTTAACTGAGTGCTCGCAAAGAAGATATTGTTTAGTTGTTCGTATGTGTGCGGTGAGGTTAAAATTTCTTAATTATTGCAGTGTTGGCTCAATTAAAGAAACGGAATAATAATAATTTATGGGAGGAGGTTTTCCGTCAAAGATGAACTGTTAAATTCTGGAATCTCTGTCAGAGCTCTTGTATAATTGAGATTTCGAGACCAATAAAAACGAAAAATAGCACAGCATTGTTTTTTCCGATATAAGTAGACTCTTACGCATTGTCATGTTGTCGAATTTGTAAATACACTGACAAAAATGTGTGAATACTTTTCAGTGCGACGCCTCGTCGTGTATTACTGCTTGCTTGCCCTTATCTGATCAATTCTTTCGAACATGCGAACCAACCCACTATTCAATTCAATCATCTTTTACATTTAAACGTGCACTAAATTATGATTTCAATTTTAATGTGTTCTGTTGCGTTGATTCTTACATCTATAGAGGCCTCGGTAAGTGTAAGTGGTTATTTTACAGTTAAAAAATGAAGAACAAAGTACAAAAAAGATGAATAAATGATTGAGAGCATTCTTAAAATATTTGTGATACCTATATATATGTGCTGCTAATTTGTGGCGGTATAAAGTTGATAAACCTGAAAATCATTATTAGGGAATGTTTTGGCCCTTAATTTTTGACCAGTGTTCCAACTTTAGGCTGGAATTTTTGGAATCATCTTAGTTGGTAAGGCTAAGCTGTAAGATCCCTCCAAAGTATTTATGAGCCACAATTATTTTTGCATGTGTATTCCTTTCTCTTCGTTCCCGACTCGAACTTCACTCTACGCGGCATCTACACCGAGACTTGCACGACAATTTTTTGCGGGTTATGCTCCTGACTTTTTCGGGTGGCAAATTTGCCTAAATGCTCCGAATTTTTAGGTGCCAAAGCCTCATTTTTAAGCGCATCTCGCGCATGTAGCCCGGTGAAGGCGGAAAACTACTCTCACGTTTTTTTAATAGTAAGTGTATCACGAAAGATGAAAAAAATTAGCGTGCTTTACTGTTTTGAAGAACAAATTTTTGTGGTAAAATTTAGTCATATTGCAAATGTGAGTTGACTAATTTTACTTACGAGAAGAACGGAAACCTAACAAGTTGAAATCCTTCTTCGCTTCCAGCCAACTCCTACACCGACAAATAAATGCTTCGACGAATTACTGGATGCATTCATAACCGTAGAAACCCACCGAAAATCCGTTTTGAAGGAGGCACAAAACGAGGGCACTAAGCTGAAGAACAACGAGACGATCGTGTTTCTCGAGGTTTTAAGAGAGGCAGATGAAGCCCTCGTGAACGTGCGACACTATTTTGATGCGGGGAGGATTTTGTTCGATTTCAGGAATGGCAAGTCAAATCTCAAGCCGGCAGATGCAGCCCAGGTAAAGAGTTGTGTCATTTTTCTGATGTAAAATGATTGAATACAGATCAGAGACAAGAGACCTTCCACTGGCCTCTTGGCGACAGGTGGAAGCTTTTCCTTCATTTCTCGTTTTCTTCGAAACCATCGCGATTGAGTTACACATTTCCCGAATCTAGCCATCGATAAATGTTAAAAAATAAGCTGCATAAAAACACACAAGTATTGAATAAAATTGAAATGAGTATCTTTGTCCTTGTGTAAGTTTTTTGTAATTCTTGAGGGTGGATTCGTTCGTGGGGCACTGAGAAAATGTGGTGTTTCGGCCCCCAATTCGTGTGAAGACACAAATTCATATAACTGCTCAGAGCAGACCAAACTTAGTACGTGAAGCACAATTATTTTTGTAAATGTGGGTCTTTAACAATTGCGGTAGTTGCAGCAGATATTTCTGATATCTATCAAGCATCATAATGATATTTAATTAAAAAGTAGAGGAATAAAAAGCTGAAAAAGCTTCCATTAATTCAGCTTGAACTCAGCAGTGCTCACTCAGTGCTTTTATATTTGTAAGGCATGGTGTAAGCCCCGAGTTGAGCTATCTCGATTCAGTGGTGATACATTCAAAATATAGATACTCTTTTCTCAGGCTAGATGCATTTTGTTACTGTAATAATTACAGCGAAATAAGGGTCAACATAAGATTAAAAAGCAAAATCCTTCCATTTTCACATTCATTTATAGATTTTCCAAGAGTACATAGTTTCACCACCAAATGCTTGTTATAGTTTTAAACTTTTAATTCCTATTGTATTTTTTCACATTCCACATTATTACGACCGTGATTTTATCCATGTTTTTTTTCCAGAAAACTGAAATCTTGCGAGACGAAAAATTCTTGGGCACCCAAATGCTTAAGCTGGCCACAATCTACAAAATTTTGGAATCCAAAATGGGAGAGCTGCCTAGAGAAGCGTTGAGCACGTTTCGGCCCCTTCTTGACACCCTTAAGCATAGTGATGAAGCTTTGACTCCACTTGCGAAACAATTTGAGATCGATTTGGAGGAGACTAAGAAAAAGATGTCCAAATGATTCTGTGTAAGTCGGCATTTGATTCACGACTTTTGGCTGCCAACTTGTTGTAGAGTATAAGGAGCCGTATTGAACCAGCATTTTCAACTGAACATATCGCCTGACAGCCTCATACCCCGGGATCATATTTCCAATACCGATGTCTATTCAAGAAACCTCAAAATAAGAACAATAGAGGAAGAAAAACCACTTGGAAATTGCTCGTTCAAGCTCTAAAACCGAACATTCCTTTTCTAGTGTATTTTATTGATTGTGACTGTGCGACTCATTATAAATATTTTATTTGAGCACTTAATTAACATCTTATTATAAAGTAATCTTAATGTTCAATATCTGTACACTTTGTATATAGCTAGGACCGGTGTCCCAGCCCACCCATTGACTTTATTGTGTACATAATTTAGGATTAAATTAATAGCGCTAATACTTGTAAATATCCTGTAGTTCCCTATGTTTTAATCAATAAAAAAACAAAAATTTCGTTTGTTACGTTCTTTTGTGTGGAAAAAGACGGATTGGCGAGTAGAAATTTTGCCGTGTTGAAATGAGGGGCTTAGAGGACAAGGTGCATAAGTGCATTTTTTGCTATCTCGAGAAATGCGTGTTCGAAGTTTTGGAGTTACATGGAACCTTAAGGCGGAAAGAAAGTTTAAGTTGACTTTTTGATGCTTGAAAATTGAAGATTGGGAGCGAATTTTTCACAGGAAATGCATTAAGACTAGTTTTACTCGAAATCAACAATATCTCAATTTTTTTCAAAACTTATAGACTCCATCCTCCAAGCCCTTCAATTGCAGTTACTTTCTTTCTTTTAGAAAACGACGATGTATACCCATTTTTTCCCGTTTTTTTGGTGCATTCACTTGATTCTAATAATTTGAAATCCCGTTTCCTTACAGCCTACTTCTATGCCACTGAGCAAGAGCTATGATGAATTACTAGATGAACTGATAGCCGTAGAAACTAATCGGAAAGCTGCCTTGAAGAAGGCAGTAGGTGAGGCCACAAGGTATAAAAACAACGCTACGCTTAAATTTCTGGAGGCTACAAAGCAGGGGGATGAGGAACTCGTGAAAATACGGCAATTTTTTGATGCTGGGAGGATCTATTTCGACTTTGGGAAAGGAAAATATAAGTTCGAGCATGAGCAAATTGATGCATTCAAGGTAAAATCAACATAATTTTTACATAACTGGGGGCTACGCCCCCTGACCGCTCTGCGTTTCCCCCAGATGCGCCTTGCGCCTCAGGCGTAATGCGTGACGTGTTACCAATATGGTTTTATATCATGGAGTAAGATATCGATGATGAAGCTGCAGAAATGCGTATCTCGTTTTGTTGCGTTGCAGACTACCTGTCATATTCTATTTTCTACTTAAGCTACTGTTAGCAATTTCTTGAAAACTCCGGAGAGTTTTCCTCTTCGTGTGGAAAATATTCCGTGATTTCAAGCCATTATTTTTGTTCCGTCTCCCTCAAAAAAATTAAATAAAAGCGAGGATTTTGAAACATAGCAACAGAGATACACAATTTTGAAGTTTCACCGTCGTTATTCATTAAATTCACATGAGCGCAATATGGAACTTGCGCAGTGGCGAGGCGTGAATTGCGATACATCGATTGTTATTCCATTTAAACTTATGGTAAAGAATCGATTATTAAGGTGTTTGCTGCAAACACCCTGTTTATCGATCCTTTTCCATAAGTTTAAATGGCATAACAATCGATATATCGTAAAGCACGCCACGCCACTGAACTTGCGATGTTTTTTACCCGCATGTTCACCCACAAGATATTTCAAAGGTTTCTAAGGATTGTGCAAGGAATTCATTCTTTAATTCCTTAAGTGACATTTTTCAATCTGGGAGGGTAAATTCGCCAGTGAAGCATCTAGAATGTGGAAGGTTTTGACCTCCAATTTCGTATCAACACGCAAATTACTTTATCTGCATGTTTTAACAACAGCAAAACACTTTATGACCAGGTATAAAAAAGGAATAATTTTTGTACGAACATCAATGTTTCTGGAAATGTACGAGTACCTATGTATACAATTTTCAGATTGTACCCAGGAATTTTAATTTCTATTTAAGTATTTATGAGAAAAAATGATATCATTATCGATGCTCTCTGCAACACTAAATGAATACTGTTTGGAAAATTTGAAAATAATATAATTATATCATGGTCAAAATGTGATTGAAAAGACAGATCGCTTTTATTTCCTCTTCTAAATCCTTAAATTCATACTTTCATTCTATACCTTTTAATACTACTATTACTACTACCTATTATACATTTATTATATTTCAAATTTAATTTTTAAACTTTTTGCTTAATTATTGTATGTCTTAACATTTTATTGATTAAAACTAAAATCTGACATTTGTTGTAGAAAACTGCACTCTTGCGAGAAAAGGACTACTTTAGTAACCAAGTGGACAAGGTAACTGCTACCCATGCTACTATAGAGTCTGAAAAGGGAGATCTACCTAAAGAGGAGCTGGGCAAACTGCAACCACTGTTCGACTCCTTCGATCGGAGTTACGAAGCTCTGAATCCACTAGTGACACAATTTCTTATCAATATGAAAGAGGACATAAAATTAAGACCCGGGTAATATTGGGTATTCCATTTCGATCCATGACAAGAAATATCAATATATAGTTTTATCAAGACGTTTTTTAATCAAGATTCAACTATATACAACTAGAGTCCCTTTATACACATAGTTAAGACAACTCGATTATCAGCTGACTGGCAGCCAGCCTTGGCTGGCCATGGAGGCCGAAACGAGTGCACCCAAACAAACGATATTGAGGGATAAGGATCAGGAATCCTGCGATGTCTGTCACACAAAAACAACAACATCAACAAATTGATCAATTAAAACGAAAATTAGATTGGTTTGTGAATAATTTCTTAATCTATTTTCATTTTAGACCGATGGAAATAACAATTTACTCTTGATAAACCACAATTAGGTAATATTTTCATTATTCTTGTTCACATTCGAGGTACCGCCATCTTGGTGCACTCGTTTCGGCCTCCATGAGCGAGAACCAATCAGAATTGGATTTTTTTAAGGCCACTTTCAGCCCAACCAAAAGTGAGTTGTCTTAACTCTGGGTATAAAGGGACTCTATATACTACCAACATTTTTAACCAAAATTTTCTTATCAATTTGGAGGAGGACAAAAATATAAGACCCATGTGATGTTGGGTAGTCACATTATTATTGTAATTTCTGCGCATATAAGACTAATAAACACATCGACGGTGAAACTACCAAACCACGTATCTCGTTTGCGGCGTTTAAAAATCTACGCTCACATTTTCTTTTTTGGAAGTAGACCAAATCAATATCATTCCTTGAAATTTTCACAGAATTTTCTCCGCACGAAGAGGAAAAATCACAGAAATTTTCAAGACTGGACGTTAAGTAGTTTTTCATTTAAAAAATAAAGTATGACAGGAAGTCTGCGACGTCGCAAACCGAGATACGTGGTTTGGTAGTTTCACCGTCGACATACTTTTTTTTAAAAAAAAATCTACTTCATTCATTTATGATTTTCCTTGGTTATTTCATGTTGACACCGTCGAAAGTATCCTTATAGTTCATGAAATATGCCTTCGGGGTACGGAGGGATTTTGTTGGTGGAAACGGGTGGTTGCAATTCCACTTCAACCAATAATGCCGTGCTAAGGAAAAACGCCGTATAAGGCTTCAGGCGTTGCCACATTTCCTCTGGCAAACCACTAATTTTCAGCAAAATGTTTGAATATTTTTCTGCCAATTCCTCTGAAAATTTCGAGGATAAGTATTTATAATTTTCCTCAAAAATAAACCTTTTATCGAAGGAACTTTGGCAACTCTCGAATGTCTATACGGCATTTTTCGTTGGCATGGCAGAAAAGGACCACTCGATACTTCCTATGCCTTCCAAGATAACAGCTTTGTCTATCAATTTCATTAATCAGCCCGCTGGTGCTTTTAGAATATTAAATGAAAAAACACTATGTTTAGTGACCCATTACAACATCCCTCCACACAAGACAATAGCCCAGTCTCGATGTAAATGACACAACGCATCGTGCCACAAGTCGTATGAGAACCAGATCAGCGCTTCAAGTCGCATTTCTGCACGCTTTTCGCACGGGGAGCTATTCAGCCGCACTAAAGAAAAACGCCGTATGAGACCTCGGACGTTGCCTTATTTCCTTCAATAAAGACTTAATTCACCAGGAAAATTTTGAATATTTTCCATTAATTTTTTCATACAATTTTGTTCGCAATTTTATCTAAAACGTCTGAAAGTTTGAAGGAAAAATACGCATGATTTTCTTCCAAAATACATGTTACATTCGGAGTGATTTGCCAACATTCGGATGTTCATACGGCGTTTTTCCTTAGCACGGCATTATTGCGTGGATACCGGGAGACACTCAAAACAAATGTGAGAAGATATCAACCGCGGGCCTTCGCGAAAAAATAGGATCGTAGCGTAGCAGTGCGTGGGTGAGTGCGGTAATACCCGCGACGTAAGTTTTTTGCTCCTCCGACGTAAGGACGTACATCCATTTTCGGGTGAGCCCTATTATCCGTAAAATCTTCGGTTTCCAGGGGCTCATGTGTGAAAAAAGAAACGTCCTTACGTAAGGAAGATCGAAGAGTTTGAGTCGGGGGCGATGACGGTGAAACAATTCGCTCTGAGGTGCTTTCACTACTGTCCACAAGCCGCAAGCTCATATTTCCGACGCTTGGCTTAAAGAGTGTGACTCCTGCGTGGTTTTTGTGCGAAAAGAAGATTTTTTTCACATTTTATTACAAATATCTTTTTTTTTTCATTTCTTGGAAAACCTGCAATTTTTTTTCATCAGGAGCTAAAGCCACATCGCGCGATCCTCTAAAAAAATCGACAATGTTTAACAGAAAGTAATCTGCCGTGCTAAGGAAAAATGCCGCATGAGCATTCGAGAGTAGCCAAATCTCCTCCAACACAATTTACATTTTTTTAGAGAGTTATGAATATATATTCTCCTGAAATTCTTAGATAATCAACATCTAATTACGAAAAAAATCCTTCGAAAAATTTAACGGAAAATATTCACGAGTTTTCCCAACAATTTGGGAGTCGGTAAATTGCGCCGATTTCGGGGTAAATTAAGAAATTAGGCTACTGACGAAGGTTTATACGGTGTTTTTTCCTGGCACGGCAGTAATCAAGTCAAATCTAGATCAAACCGAGAAAAAGAGGTTTATAACTGGCTGATTGTTGAAATTGAGAGTTAAAGCGATAGACTAGAAGAGTATGGAGCGATCCAATTGGCTGAAATGGGTGGATTTTATAGACTAGGGGCGAAAATGATGGATCAACTATAGGGTCTCTCGTGGGCTGCCGTTAGTTAGTCTATAAACTACAAAAACCCTCAAAAACATTTTCGGGCAAAAAATCCGGTCGAGGAAATTGACGTGTTACA